GGTGCACACATGTGCCATGGAAGAAAAGCTGGAGACCAGGGCACCCTTACTTAGGAACTTGTTGGGAAACAAGCACCCCTTTATTTTGTGCCTATTCTTTATGGGAAAGCTCACCTTGCCTTTTACAGAGGAAGAGGGGTTTGTCTGACAGCAGTGGTCCCAGTCTGTCCCAGCACGAGGCTCTTCAAGGGCTAGTTGTCCTAATGCCATGAGCCTTACTGCCTGTCCTCATTTCACTGGTGTCCAGCCAGGGAGCAATAAGCATAGAAATACAGTTTTGGGATGCCTGCAGGCAGTTTTGTTTCAGAGCTGTGCCCCTCCAGTTGTCAGCAGTGGTCGTGCCACGCACATCTCTGCTCACACCGCCCCCTTGCCTTTGCACCGCCCTCGCTCACCTGCCCCACGCCACCCAGAAGGGCTGGAAATGAAAAGTTGCTTCTTGTGTAGGAGGGCAGGCAGCAACCTGAAATGCTTGCCTGCTGCTGGTACGTAGGCAGAGAAAGCGTGTGGGAAACGCAACCAATGAACGCAGCTCTACGAGTAGTGTCTCTGTTGTGGGATTATCTCTTCCTGTTATCTCAAACACTACATTTCAGAAGCACCAAAGGCAGCAACTGTCTAATGATATCACCCAAAACAAAGGCATGCAAGGCACCCGCACTCTATTGAGGTTGGTGCTTCTGACAGCTAGGTGGGCAGAATTGAACATCACCTCAGTCATTTGCCTGCCTTGGCCTTTGCCTTCTCCTTCCCTCTACGTGTGCTTCTATTGAACCAGCAACTTACACTGGCAATGCACGTGCCAAGGGAGAGAGAGCAGGGCCTGCCGGCACCACGGGCTCTGGGCAGACGGGGCTCACCACGTACCCAGTGAGTCAGCATCAGCTGTGCACCTTCCGAGGCAGAAGACAGCAAAGAGGAGTACCTCTCTCCAATCCTGTCAGAGCCAGGGATCCTTCATGATGACACTGGCAAAAGCTGACAACAACAAGGCGACAAAGAGGATTCATGCTCCAAAGCCACAGGGGCGCCTTGGAAGTCCCCTTTCCTCCCTCTTGGCAGGCATGCTGCCCTTCGGCTGATATGTGCATAGGTGGAGTGCTGAGGTGTCACTCAAAGAGGAAAACTAAAATGTCTCGAATGGGTGTTTTTTAGGATAGGAAAGCTAGAATAGAAAGTAACGCTGCAGCAGTGCTGCCTGGGGAAGTGTCACAGGAGGTAAGAACAAGGCAGAAAGCCTCCCCTCAGCAATCCTTTGCACCTTCTCAGTTCCAGCAGAAGACCAAGGGGAGCAGCAGCTATGCCGTGCTGCTCTGCCACAGGCTTTGGGAGGCTTCTTTGCCTGCATGTCAGAATAGAGAAGGGAGCTGATGGGCAATACAGTCCCAGCTGGGGTTTATCTCTGCATCACAGCCTGAAGATTTGTTGCAGAATAAGGACAAAATGAGTGTCTTTTCCCCCATGACATCATTTTGGCAAGCATTACAAGAAAGACATTTGAATGAGGCATGGTCTCCTACGTGACCTTTTACAGACTGGAAGTTTTATTTTAGAAATGTAATTATCTGACTGGCCTCAGCAATGTCTGTGCCAGGAGCAAGAGGGCCTCCCTCTGAACTGGCTAATGCCTGGCTGAGATACAAGCAGTTCTTGCATACTTTACTAGAAAGGCCAAGTTTGGGCAGCAAGTGCTGCTGATGCCACATAGATTAAGACTGGGGTTGAAGATTTGTATCTTCCAATACAATAACCCAACTGCTGCTCTTTTGCGTGCCTCTCATACTGCACAGCTGGTGAGCACTGGAGGACCACAGCACGACAACAGATCTACTTGGATCACGGGGCTGCGCTTCCTGCCCATTCCTTCAGCGCTGGCTCTACATCACATCACCCAACAAAACTGACTCCTGCTGACACCTGGGCAGCATAAGCTGCATCTCCCAAACCAGCATTTTGAACAAGCCAGCGTCCTTACAGAACACGGCTCGGCACGTCAGCCCACTTGTCTCATCCTCCTTAGGAAGAATGGGGGAAAATGCTTCATCTTGCATGACTCACTGGTAGATATGTCTATGAAAGAAGAACAAAGAAAGGTTGCAGCAAGCACCACCAGAGCCAAACACTTCCTGTTAGTTCTTAGGTCTTGCTGTCAGCTCGTTTTCCAGAACTGAAGCATGCATAAAAACCCACATAACATAGCCCTACAGCATAAACCCCCAATCATTGAATGCTCCATGACACACATTCAGAAAAATTGCTGACTTTTCAAATAGGCACCAAGTAGAACTCAGGACCATAAAAATATCCATTGCAGTGCATCAGAAACACCAGACATCACAAAAACAGTGGTGACTATCCAAAAAAAAGCCTTAATCAAAAGTAAGTATTGCCCTGATGAGGCTCCCATTGTGCAGAGGTACTCTGTGCTCCTAGTGCTTCCTTGTCCACCTGGCAGAGGACTGCGTTTTGGTGCAAATCCACCCAACAGGGCTACACTGAGCTCCTTTTACATAGCTTTGAGCCTCTTAGCACCTAAGAGAGAAACTTTTATCTGGAAAGCAAAGAAGCAAGAGTCCAAAAGGAGACCTCAGGGAGTTCAAAGAGGCTGAAAGTGCTTCTCTCAACTCGTGGTTACAGCAGCCAGGTGGAGGGCAGTATTAAAGTATGTACCTCCACAATTCACCCATGCCCACGGTTGTGGCCTCTGGCCTGCCCTGTACTCAGAGTGCCCACTGGCAGCCCAGCTCCCCAGGACGGGCATCCAAGGGCATATTTAGAGCATGCTCAGCCCTCACATGCCTTAAGCTGAGACAACAGAGGTTTCCACAGTTCACAGGGTGGTCTCCAGCCCAGTCTTAAGGGTGGGTTTGGATCCAGTTTGTAACCAACAGTTCTCACCTCCAATTAGCATCCTGGGCATGACTTAGCATCGTGCTGCAGTTCCCTGCCAGAAGAGCAAGCACACCTCTGTGCTGCACCAGAGTCACCCCGGCACCACCTCATGCACTCACCAGTATCCTCCTGCAAAGTCCTGTGGCATGAGTCACCCCACCCGCCCCAGTCAAAGGACGGACCAGGGCAGCAGCTGGTGAGAAGCCTAGGAAGGTCCCTCAAAGGCATGACAGAAGCTCACCAAGCCTCTGCGGTGGGAAGGAGCATCTCCAAAGCATTCCTGCGGCTCTGTTAAGCTTGGGGCAGTATTCATTAGCAGGGGCTCCCAGAAGGAACCTGTCCTCCTCCTCCTCCCTCTCTCCTAGGAAGGACCAATGCTCCCATAACCATAAAAGAGTCCCAGCTTGGCTGCTTGCTCTGGAAAGGACACTGATAAAGCTCCAGCCACGCAGGATGGGCAGAGCATGCTGCCACAGCAGGCAGGTGGGCATGGTGACTGTGTTCACCCACACCAACCCGAGCCCACCAGCTGCCAACACTTAGGTGGCAGCTGGTACCTCCTGGGGATCGGTGTGAAACCTTCTGTGCCTGTGTTTCCGTGACTCAGGGACCAAAACATTTTTCTCATCTCCTTTGTACCAAAGTGAGCTCGAGATACTGAAGTACCAGCACAGGTGTGAACTCAGATCCTCACCACCCACTCTCATCTTTATTCATTCACTACAGGGATAATAGCATATGTTACAAACAAAACCATGAAATGTTTACCAGATGCAACTTTAAATAGTGAAAGCCCTAAAACAAGCTGCAGAAAGCTAAGGTGAGAGGAAGTGACACTCCCAGGGCTGTGTCCACCTTTGGAGTTCAAGCAAAGTGGCTGAGCTCTGGAGGAGGCAGAGACCTCCTTCTCCCTGACAATTTCCTTCCCTGCCCTTGTACCAGAAGATAAAACCAGTCACCTTTCTGAGGAGAAACAAAGGATGGCTGTTTTATCTCCTCTGGCACGTGTGGGATAATCAAGCCCGAAGGGGGTACTGCACATTCTTCTACCTAAAGCAACAACTTGAGAGCTGCATGTCTCATTCTCTGTGGCTCTTGCAGCTCTCTTCTCTACCTGGGCTGCCTTTTACACCAGATGGGGCAGTGTACCCATTCAGACATTGCTTTAAAATGGTCTGTCCTCTCTTGGCTCCTTAGCTGTCCCATAGAGGCAGTTAGGAATATTTCAAAGGACCAGAGGAGAGAACAGTGTTTGTTCAGAACATGGAGGGCACAGTTACTGCAGTCCAACCTCGGTTTTTTGGAGGGAAGTCTCTCAGCAGTTCTCTATCATCACCTGGTTATACATGAGGTGCTTACCAGCAAGAGATCCTCTCCCAGAAATCTATTTTAGTGCTCTGTTTGCAAAAAAAAGAAAATAATCCTGACCTAACTCTCCCCTGCTGCAATTTAATCCCATGGTTTTTGTTCTAAATGCAGTGAAGAAAGTGAGAACTTACTCCTTTCCTACTTGCGTTTTTCCCACACACGTGCTTCAAGGTTCTTACATCCCCTTTCGATATTTTCTTCTCTGTATTAGATGACACCAATTCTTTCAACTTCAGACAAACATATAATTATATACAACTATTTTTTTGATCCAGGAGCTCATGCATTTGGCGCTTAAGCCAGAGGGCTGTCCAAATGTGTGACAGGAGAAAGGAAAGTTGGATGGAAAAACCCTGTGAGAGGGTTAGGCCTCTGTGGTCTCGCTTAAACTGTAGCTTCTTCTTGATATATTCCATCCAAAAAGCACAAAGGCAACAAGGTGCATTAAAAACAAGTGAACCACTGAAAGACACAGTTTTCAAGGCTCAATACTCTATAGCCTAACATGGAGACATTTGAAGAAAAACAGCCACAGGGATGAATGCCCATCACCTTGAATCTCCTCCACTGGGTCTCTTCATCTCCATTTGATGCTCTCTCTAATTTTCTGCAATGAAAGCTGCCGTTTCATAGCTGAGCATTACGCAAGGCTGGGCGGGAGGGGTTCCTGACTATTGGAAACTGTCTTTTCCCGGTGGCTGGTGAAGCAAAGTGACCACCGTCTCTCCCAGGGCAGGCGTTCAAGGTCTTTCTCTCGGGTGATTTGGAGTCCGCTGCTGAGTGCGGGGCCTGGGCCGTGGGGGCAGTGGTTGTTGCTGGCCCTGGGGCTGTGGCAGTGGCCGCTGCTGCACACGCAGCTGCTTTGAGGTGGGATTGCACGGTGGCTGAGGGAGCTCCCGCACCACCATTTCGTTGTCCTGCTGGCAAGTCTGCATCATCTGCTCCTCATCTGCAACAACAGAATGACCCAGCAATCAGGCACATGTTCAACTCTAAGCACAAGTTGAACAGGGAGGGAAAATAGCTTGGCCCAAGCAAGAAAAAGCCAAATATTGGTCTTACCTGGAAGGCCACTGTCAGTTTAGGTGTTCCTGCTCCAGTGGAACAACCAAAATCACCTCTGGCTGCACACATTGGTCAAACCCAAAAGCTTTTTGGCTGCCTGGCTGAGATCAAGGTACCTGGGGGCATCTGAGGTAGCTCTACCCTCTCTGTGTTGAGGGAGCTGACTTTGCCAGGGAGGCCCCAGAAGTCACTGATGGACATCCCAGCCTGAGCTGCTCTGTCCTGTTTTGGAAACGGGTCACTGAAGGGAAAGTGAGATGTAACCCCCAGTAAGCAACACCAAAGCACTCTGCCCTGCCACTGTCTGTGCTGGGATTTCCAGGCACTTGGAAGCCAGAGGTCTGTTTTGTCAGCATTAATTTCCCCACACATAGAAGAAGTAAATTCATGCCAGCTGACTTTTGATCACTGACTCATCATTTCTGAAATGTTAGTCAGCTTAGCTTAGGGACTGAGGGATTTACCTCTTGGGACACTGAAATGGCCTTAAGCACACATCAGTTTGTTTCAGAGAGGCTGGCCACCCTCTCATATTAGTTTTCATTTTCCCAGACTTCTTTTTTTCTTAATTCTTGCTGAATCCAGACCCAAGAATTGAGGATATGCTATCATCGCACAGTTGAGGGAGTAACATATTCCACTCAAACAAGAACAGCCATGATGTAAAATAACACTCAGAGGGTTAAGCTCACACCACTGTTGTGCTCACAAGCTATGCCAAGCCTTCTGAGACAACATCCTATGGTTGCACTCTGTTGAGCTGTCCCAGAGAACAGGGAAAGCACTTGCCTGTTCTTCATGGTCGTAACTTTGGGGGCAGCAGGAAGGCCATGGTGGGTTACCCACGCTCAGGTGCAGTGAGATTGCACTCCCCTCAGCTATGGGACCAGTCACGCTCACCCTTGTTGCCACCCTGGCCACTGGCACTTTTGAGGTATCAGCTGAGGTTTCCTTCAGAAATTGTCCTCTTTATCTTGACAAAGACTATTGTGGTGTACAAAAGAGCTTTTGCTCCCATTTTATGACTCAAACCTGACTCACTCAGAGACTGGCTGTTGTTCAAGACAACACAGGAAGCCTGACACAATGTGCAGTGGCAGGACTCGTAAGCACGCCTTTACTTGAAAGCACTCCCTTGGCTGCAGGGTGACCTCCTTCCTGCTTCAGTCTCCTCTTCCCCTTCCCCCAGGTGGGCCAGACAACTCTTGTTGAGTGACAGCCCAGTATCGTCTATCCACCCAAACTAGCAGCAATGCCCAGGTTGTAATTCAAGACAACTTCTCCATCAAGACTGAGAGCCCACTCTCAGAGAAGACTCCAGCAGAGTATTTCCTATGGTCATAAAGAGGCATAAGTTACAGAAACAGATGAAATCTGTGCCCACTCTGAAAGCCTCAACTCTTTAAAGCACCCCAGATTGGACCTCCAGTGTTGCTAAGTCTCCAAAAACACTGTTTTGCAGAGAGGACAAGTTCTACGAGATGTCTGAGGAAACTCACTGAAAAACTGAGGCCCCTCTTGCCCCTTCTTACTACCTAAAATGTTTCCAAACGTGACTAGTGATTTCAAAGATCCTAATTGTACACCATATAAGTTTAATGTAAAAAATCAGATGACGAAAGATCTAATTGTATATTTTAGCTCCATGGATGCTCATGACTGGACAAGCTTTGGAGAAACAATTCTTCCTCCACGAATATACAAAAAGGCTTGAGAAAGAGAAGTATTTTGTTCAAAGCATATATCAAAAACTGAGACTGGCAATGCCAGCCCATCTGCCAAGAGTCACCATATGCCAAGACTTGCTCATGCCAAGGCTGAGAGCATGCTCCTGCTTA